AAAAAAAAAAAAAAAAAAAACAAAACACTAAAAGATACCAAGAACTTCACTTAGAAGAAATTGATAAAGTAACTTTTCATCATTCAAAATTATTCATCCAGGCTGGGCATGGTGGCTCGCACCTGTAGTCCTGGCACTTTGGGAGGCTGAGGCAGGCAGATCACCTGAGGTCAGGGGTTCAAGACCAGCCTGGCTGACATGGTGAAACCCCATCTCTATTAAAAATACAAAAATTAGCCAGGCATAGTGGAGGGTACCTGTAATCCCAGGTACTTGGGAGGCTGATGCAGGAGAATCATTTGAACCTGGCAGGCAGAGATTGCAGTGAGCCAAGATCGCCCCACTCCACTCAAGCCTGGGCAACTAGAGTGAGACTCCACCTCAAAAATAAAAATTATCCATCCTGCTCAGAGCTTAAACAATATAAGCAAATATCTCCTATGTTATTCTTTGATTAAATATTGGGTTCATCTATGTTAGTTTTTTTCATGTATCTTCATGAGTGAAATTTTTTCTGGAATTCGTGTTCAAGAGCTATCCCATCTACTTCTGTACAGTTATCTAGTCTTATATGTTTGTTGTTTTGTTTTTGACAGGGTCTTGCTCCATCAACCAGGCTGCAGTGCAGTGGGGTGATCACAGCTTACTGCAGCCTCAAACTCCTGGGCTCAAGCAATCCTCTCACCTCAGCCTCCTGAGTAGCTGGGACTACAGGCATGTGCCACCATACCTGGCTAATTTATTTTTTGCAGAGATGGGGGTCTCCCTATGTTGTCCAGGCAAGTCTGGAACTTCTGGGTTCAAGTGATACTCCTGTCTCAACCTCCCAGAGTATTCGGATTATAGGCATGAGCCACTGTGCTCAGCCTCATCTTACATGATACTTTTTTCTATGTTTTGAACTTTTTTGGTTGTTTTTGAAACTGAATCACATTTAATAATGTTTTCCTAGGAAAAAAACCACCCACATATAAAAATCATGTCTAACAGAGCTCACATACTTATGTTAATACCAAAAAATATCCCCTAAACATATAGTTGTATCCCATTTCTCCTTTCTTATAGCACTGACAAAGCCTAATAATTAATAGTTTTCTTCAAAGGACTAGATTTTGATGAAAAACGTATATTTTTTTTATTCCATGATTTCAACTTTTCATTAAGCCTTTCCATTCATTCTTTTGGGTATTTGTTCTTATTCTACCTTGCTGAGTAATCATTATTTAACTCAATAAATATTTGAGGCCCTACAACACTACAGGCACTGTCCTAAGTGCTGGGGATACAGTGGTGATGATAAACAAACTGCCCTCAGTCTTGGTTTTATACACAGCAATTTCTATTGATAACTGTGTTAGTTATTTCACAGGATTTAAAATATAGGTCTCATTATCATTCTAAATCATCTGTAATTTCACTTTTTATATGCTCTTTAAGAACGGTTTATATGTAGTACTAAATTTCCAAGAGGTAAGAATCCATATGGCTATCTGCTAGTTTCTGAGTTATAACTGTGGTGAAAAATGAATTATATGACACTTGGCTTTAGAAATTTGTTAGAGAGAAATCATTTCTGAATGTCTTTTAAAAAACTGCTGAACACTCAACAACCCCACTTTCACTAAAGTCACAAGGCTTTCTTTTATAGGTTTTTTTGATGTAGCATGTGAAATTAATACTCATCCAAAGCTTTCTTCATTGTATTTTACTGATTTTTTTCAGAATTAACATTCTGATGTTCAATAAGACATAAATAGAGATGACTTATTTGTCTATCATCATTGTCTTAAAGTCCTCCTCTCATAAAATGGCTTAATACCAATACAAATAACAGTCACTAAGTCACGTAAATCTCAAATCATTCAACCCTTACAATCTAATGAATAAGATTAAACAGACATAGATTTAAGATACTTTCCAAAAAACATATAGAGGCAAGATGTATTGAAACAAGACATGCCAAATAAATTGTATGACATAGTTCAAGGCTTTTCTAGATTAATTAATTACATGATTTTTGTGGAAGTACAACAGAATTTTGCTAATGATGAAAGATTTCCAAAATGAATTGTATATAAATTCTTGTGGGTTTTTTTTTTTTTTTTTGGAGATGGGGTCTTTCTCTGTCACCCAGGCTAGAGTGCAGTGACGTGATCTTGACTCACTGCAACCTCCACCTCCCAGGTTCAAGCAATTCTCATGCCTCAGCCTCCCAAGTAGCTGGGACTACAGGCGTGTGCCACCATGCCCAGCTAATTTTTGTATTTTTAGTAGAGGCGGAGTTTCACCATGTTGGTCAGGCTGGTCTTGAACTCCTGACCTCAGGTGATCCACCCACCTCCGCTTCCCAAAGTGCTAGGATTACAGGCGTGAGTCACCTTGCCTGGCCGAATTATATATAAATTCTTTATGGAACATCTCTGATAAGAATGTTTTGAGAATTATTCAAAAAGAATTAATGCTATCATCTCATAAAATTTTACCCTGATATTCTGCAATGATCAGTAATTTCCTTCCTATATTGATTGCATGGTGAATTATCTGCTGCTGCTTCTGGATGTGTGCCCTGTTAAAATGCCTTCCAATATTACTTATATTTGTGGGGTTCCTCAAGAGAAAAAAATAAATGATGTCAATTAAGAAGTCATGAATAAAGCCCTTCCTACACTTTTATATAATATTTCACAAGAGTGAAATGAAGTGAGAGCTCGAAGAAAATGCTTTCTCAAAATCTTTAAATTCATAGGATTTCTCAAAAGTGTAAATATTCTGGTGTTGAGCAAAGCTTGACTCATGACTAAAGGAGTTCCCATAGTCTGTCCATTCACAGAGATTTGCACCATTATGAATTTTTTGTTCAGTAAAATATGAATGGTGACTAAAGATGTGGCTACTTTTCTTGCATCCATAAGGTTCTGCATCAGTATGAATTCTCTTATGTCGTGTAAGCTGTGAACCCCAGATAAAAGATTTCCCACATTCTTTACATACATAAGGTTCCTCACCAGTATGCATTCTCTGATGTCGAGTAAGTTGTGAACCCCAGAGAAAGGCTTTTCCACATTCTTCACATTCATATGGCCTCTTTCCAGTATGAATTTTCTGATGTCGATTAAGTTCTGAACCACGAAAAAAGGTCTTCCCACATTCCTTGCATTCATAGTCTCTCTCACCAGTATGAATTTTCTGATGTCGATTAAACTCTGAGCCATGAAGAAAGGTCTTTCCACAATCCTTACATTCATAGGATTTCCTCTCATTATGAATTTTCTCATGTTGAGCAAGATACGAAGGCCAAGTAAAAGTCTTCCCACACTGCTTACATTCATAAGGTTTCCTGCCAGTATGAATCCGCTGATGTCGAGCAAGGTGTGAGCTCCAAATATAGGCTTTCCCACATTTCTCACATTCATAAGGTTTCCTACCAACGTGAACATTCAGATGTTGAGCAAGATTTGAACCACGAATAAAGGCTTTTCCACATTCCTTGCACTCATGAGATTTCTCACCTGTATGAATTCTCTGATGCTGAGTTAGGTGTGATCCACGAGTAAAAGCTTTCCCACACTCCTGACATTCATAAGGTTTTTCACCAGTGTGAATTCTCTGATGTTTAATAAGATGTGATCGCTGACTAAAGGCCTTTCTACATTCATTACATTCATAGGGTTTTTCACCAGTATGAATTCTCTGATGTCGAGTAAGATCTGAGCCACAACTAAAGGCCTTCCCACATTCCTTACATTCATAAGATTTCTCACCAGTATGAATTCGCTTATGGACACTAAGCTGTGAATGAAATCTAAAGGCTTTCCCACATTCCTTACATTTAAAAGGTTTCTCACCAGTATGAATTCTCTTATGACCAGTAAGACTTGAACGTAAACTAAAAGACTTCCCACATTCTTTACATTCATATGTTTTCTTAACAGTGTGAACTGTCTGATGTTGAGTAACTTCTGAATCAGGAAGAAAGGTATTCCCACATTCTTTATCTTCACAGAATTTCTCAATTGTGTGAATTAACTGATGTTGAGTATGATCTGAGCTAGAAATAAAGGCTTTCCCCAATTCTTTAAATTCATTCAGTTTGTCTCCTGTGTTAAGTCTCTGGTGTAGATTAAAGGCTGTGTGCTGGTTAAAAGTGGGCCTTTTTTCACAGGTGAGTATCACCTGCTTGAAACATTCCTCTTGATTATCTTGTAGTGTTTGAAACTGAACATTGCCTTCCCAATCACCTCTAAAACATAAACATTCAAGGCTGTGGTTTTTACAAATTTTCATTATTTCCAGTTGGGCTATTTCTCTCTCACAAATGCCATTTTTTGGTAATAACTTCTTGGTCTGACACCTGGACTGCATGTCTGAAAAATAAGATAAAAACATCATACTGTTTTATGTACAAAAAGCAATAAAACTTCTAAAATAGATGTAGAAAATATTGAAATAAAGCATATGAGAAGTGAATGGCTTAAAAAATTCTCAAATATGAGCAATATGAAAAAAAGGGCAAGAAATAAGTAGAAATTTAAAAGAAATAATGTAAGTTGAGTCAAGTGATGAGAAGTATATTTTATTTTGATCATATTCATCTGAGGAGCTCAATAAAAAATGATTATCCAGGTATCACCTCAATAACAGAATAATAAGTCATAAAATATCTACAAGTTTGCAAGTACTATGGTGAATGTCTTATATAATTCAGAGCTTAAAAACAGGAATGCTGGGAAATGGCAGAGTATCAGTCCAATATGAGGGAAGCAATCTGATCCAGAGTTACCAAACTAGGATCTCAATACCAGGGTATGCTGTATTTAGGTTAAAGGAGATAATTATGGGTGACAGTTTAGACAGAAAAATAGTTTGAAGCCAGGTACAGTGATTCACACCTGTAATCCCAGCACTTGGGAAGGCTGAGGCAGATTGCTTGAGCTTAGAAGTTCGAGACCAGCCTAGGCAACATGGCAAAACCCCATCTCTATAAAAAAGCAGCCAAGAATGGTGGTGCATGCCTGTGGTCCTAGCTACCTAGAAGGCTGAGGTGGCAGGATCACCTGAGCCTAGAAGGTTGAGGTTGCAGGGAGCCATCATCACACGACTGCACTCGAGCATGGGTGACAGAGTAAAACCCTGTCTTAACAACAACAAAAAATTAGTTTGAGAATTTTTTTCAAGGGGGAAGGAGTCAGGCAAAAGCTGAGAATAAGTAGGACTCTTCCGTGACTCTTTTTTTTAAATATATATTTAGGATCAAGTACTATTGTTTTCAGTTTTTCTTGGGGGACAGAGCAAGTACTCTAGCAGTGACTCAATGAATTGAAAGGCAGTTTAGTTATGAAGTATGAGCAGTAATGTACTGCAATGGAAAGAGGACAAACTGCAGTTTCAGACTCCAGTTCTCTTTACTAAAACTACTTTTTAGGTGATTGGAAAATTACTGAGCTTGACTGAGCTCTTAATTTTTCATATCATAAAAAGGAATAAATCATCACTTTGCAGAGGTTCGTTGCAAGGATTGGGAATAATATGCTATTTCTATTAAGTGCCTGACACAGGGTAAGTGTTGAATAATCAGTAGATGATGATGATTATTAGAGAGGAAAAGCTGGGGAATATGGGGAACTAGACAAGTCAGAGTTTGTCTTTTTTTTTTTTTTTTTTGAGATGGAGCCTCACTCTGTCACTGCACTCCAGGTTGGAGTGCAGTGGCGCAATCTCAGCTCACTGCAACCTCCACCTCCTGGGTTCAAGCGATTCTCCTGCCTCAGCCTCCCAAGTAGCTGGGATTACAGGTGCCCACCACCATGCCCAACTAATTTTTGTATTTTTAGTAGGGATGGGGTTTCGCTATGTTGTCCAGGCTGGTTTTGAACTCCCGACCTCAGGTGATTCGCCCGCCTCGACCTTCTAAAATTCTGTGATTACAGGCATGAGCCACCGCGCCTGGCTGGGCTTGTCTTTTATGACACTGTGTTCTTCTGGTTGTACTTCATGTGCCCTAACTGTTCTTCTGCCACTTCCTCCTCACTGTGACCAGAAACTGTTATCACCCATTACTCTAATTTTCAGCTAAGCAGTCTATTAGGTCTTCTCTTAATGTTCCCTGTATGCAGAAATGTATGGCCATGCTCCAGTCACAGAAGAGGACAAAAAGTTTCTTAAGAGATAATATATTCTTTGTTAATTCTGTTAAACCTAAAATGAGCAAATACATAAATGTTGGTTGAAAGAATGAACTAATAAGAATGAACTAACAAATGCAGGCAATGTACAATCAAGGAGAAGCTAGGAAAAATGAGAAAAATTCAAAAGGGATGGGTAAAATTTAAAAAATGAGGTCAAAAATGTTTGGTTTGGTTTTGTTTTTTTACAGAATGAAGAATTTTATGAAAATCTAAATTTCAAAAAAGGGAGATGGGAAGGAACTTGATCCAAGTCATAGATAAAATAAGCACCACTGGAGAAAAGAATGGCACTTACCTTTTTGTTACATGAGTGAAAAATGAGAGCACAAAAATAGACCAGTGTTTGGAGTGAAGAGAAAGTTCTTTTGGAAAAGGTTTTGTCTCTATCTAGGCCTCAGACCTTTTTTTTTTTTGAGATGGAGTCTCAAAAGAATCTCGGCTAACTGCGACCTCTGCCCTCCAGGTTCAAGCAATTCTCCTGCTTCAGCCTCCCGAGTAGCTGGGACTATAGGTGTGTGTCAGCACACTGGCTAGTTTCTGTATTTTTAGTAGAGACAGGGTTTCACCGTGTTGGCCAAGCTGGTCTCGAACTCCTGATCTCAGGTGGTCTGCCTGTCTCAGCCTCCCAAAGTGCTGCAATTACAGGAGTGAGCCACGGCACCCAGCCAGTTTTTTTGTTTTTGTTTTTATCCCGAGACAGAGTCTTACTCTGTTGACCAAACTGGAGTGCAGTGGCATGATCTCAGCTCACTGCAACCTCTGCCTCTCTGGTTCCACAATTCTCCTGCCTCAGCCTCCCACGTAGCTGGGACTATAGGCACGCATCGCCATGCCCGGTTCATTTTTTGTATTTATTTATTTATTTTTTAGTAGAAATGGGGTTTCACCATGTTGCCCAGGCTGGTCTTAAACTCCTGAGCTCAGGCAACCCACCAAAGTGCTAGGATTACAGGCGTGAGCCACCACACTTGGCCCATTTTTTGGTCTTAAGGGGATATTCCAGACCAGTATTTTAGAGGTGTTGCTGCCTCACTATGCAGCTGAGCTGTTGTCCACAACAATGGCCTCCTTGTGCCTGTTCAGCCCTCACTCACCTGGGCAAGGTCCTCTTGTCTCATCCCTCAGAATCTTCCAGGGCTCTTTCCCTTTCTCCAATAAAGAGAACACTTCTGGCTGATAAATGCAAAGACCTGCCCAGAAGATAAGAAACAGCAAAGAACCACATTGTAAAGATTCTAAAATTTGCGACTACTTCTTTGGTTACTAAGGAAGAGAAAACAATTACAGGCAGGGCAAAAATAAGTTATAAAGGATGGGAAAGATGGAGGTGCCCACTGATGATAACTATAGCCAGATTTACAAAGCACAAACCATTTTCCAGAAAACAAAGGTCAGAAGTTACCCTGGACATTTAAAAGACAATTAAAAAAAAAAAATCACAATACAGAAAGCAGGAATTTCTAAGGTAAATGCCAAATCTTACCCAGTGAGACCAAGTTGCTGTAGTTCTCCAACATCACATCTCTGTATAAATCCCTCTGTTCCAGGTCCAGGCACTCCCACTCCTCCTGACAGAAATCTACAGCCACATCCCTGAACATCATCAGCTATTGAAAGAACAAGTCCAGGTATTAATGGTGAACTTTTAAAAAATAATAACCCCTTTAGATGAAAGGGGAAAGGCTGGAAAGGGGCACTGCAGGGAGTGGGGCATATACTGGGGAAAAAACTAGAGTTGGCTGCCTGTGGTTTCAGGGGAAATGATATGGGAATAAGCGTGACTAAAGCCAAGTGTCTACATGCTCGTTTTTTTTGTTCTTTTTTGAGACAGAGTCTTGCTCTGTCACCCAGACTGGAGTGCAGTGGTGCAATCTCGACTCACTGCAACCTCTGCCTCCCAGGTTTAAGTGATTCTTGTGCCCCAGCCACCCTAACAGCTGGGATTACATATGCGCACCACCGCGCCCGGCTAATTTTTTGTATTTTTAGTAGAGACAGGGTTTCTCAATGTTGGCCAGGCTGGTCTTGAACTCCTGACCTCAAATGATCCACCCACCTCGGCTCCCAAAGTCCTAATGAGCCACTGCACCTGGCTACATGCTCGTAAAAACTCCTGTTGCTCAGTCACCACATCTTTATGATCTTCAAATCACAAATACCAAAACATCAGAATGGCAGCCCAGAATAACAGACATCATATGAGTTTTTTGTTGATACCACTGAGAGGCTACACCAGCCTGGAAGAACCCCAGATTCATTATGTGAGAAAAGTAGGGGGTTTTATTGGTTGTAAGGAGTCTCTACTGTGCACAAACAGACTTGTGCATACAGTCTTTGGCCCAGGTAACTGTCCTTTGCTTAAGCTACTACTTTTAGTTGAATTTTCTATTAGTTTAAATTGAGAGAATTCTCAAGAGATACACTCCCTGAATATTATTTTCTATGGACAATGTGTAGAATCTCCAGGCTCTTTGCTAAGCAGCTGACACTCAGCAAATTCAGTGTCATAAGAGATTACTGTGAAAGTCATCAAATGAGTTTTTTGTTGACACCACTGAGAGGCTATACCAGCCTGGAATAACTAACCCTGGATTGTTAATTAAATTAACCTCTCATTAATTTCCTGGAAAATTCCAGATCTGTGTGAACTCAACCTCCCATCGTATCGGCTAAGGAAAGCATCACAAAGGGCCACATACCTAAATGAATACCAACCAACACCAACTCCCATCTTGATTAAATACAACATCCCATTCTACAGAGTAAATAAAAGCCTTTATGTAGTATGTCCCGTTTAATTGTTCCATCCCATCTTGTTAAGCTACGGGTTTGAAATGAAAAGTCTTTACTGTTCCCCTTAAGGAAATGTATTTCTCCTCTTCAGTGCTCTGCCAGATTAGGACACAGGAGATACTGAAAGCCCTGGTGGGTAGATTTGGTCATACTGGTTGGAGAAAAGAGATATCTAGGGAAAGCATTGGACTGTTTCACAGTCATTACTTATGACGCTCAGTAGTGATTCAAGTAAGCAGTTAAGGATAAGCAATAAAAATATTCACATGATTTGATATAAATGGGTTACATTTTTGGAGAGAGGCGATTCCAACTCACATGGACCATGACTTAACATTCCAAGTCTACCAGTCCTTCTCTGGATTCTTCTCTTGGTGAGGCAGTGTGCTGGGAAAGCAGAGCTAGAAAGAAAAAATCACGAGGTCAGGCCTTTCTCAGAGCGCTCAAATGGACAAACAGGAATGCCATTTTCTTCCTTGGAGGTAGGTCAGAAGGAACCTGAAGAAATCCTGGCCCTATCCAAAACCAGAGAGAGTCAACAAAAGCAGGATGAAGTTTCAGTCTAATCACTTATGCCAAAATCATGACATGGGATCAGGATACTACTAGATAAGTCAATTCTGGCTTGCCCTAAACTCATATATACATACATTAACATTTATCCTCAAGCCACCTATGAATGTCAGTTACTTGTCTCATTTAAAAGATCAGGAAATGGGTCACTTGCTCAAATTCACTATTAGGAAATATCATAGGTTTGCTGAATGCAAAGCTCGTTCACTTGGAATACCTCTGGATTTCAGGATTTTTTATTTTACTGAGTGAAGGATGAGCTGGACCTTTCCTTATCGGAGCAGCCCATGATCTCTGCCTCCTGTGTTTTCATTGACACTGAGCAGCAGGGTGACTTTTTCATGAAAGGAACACAAAGATGGAAGGAAGGCTGGGTTGGGCGAGCAGTCAGTTTTGTGAAGCAAGGACTTTTATTAAAGAAATATATTGAAGCCTCTCTGAGTCTAGCTTTGCACTTAGCAAAAGGGAATCAGATAAATAAGTTGCAGGACTAACTATCAAGGAATTCACAGTCAGAAAGGTAAAGAGGCAATTACAATACTGTAGGAAATAAAGGTAATCGTGGTTATGAAAGGAGCCAACTAGTTCTAAGGAGCCCAAACCAAAACTAGTTTTTAAGAGAAAGTTTCCTGTAGGAGATGGTACTTCAGCTGACTCTTGAGGGGCTGTTCTGTGTGGGAAATGCACGAGGGGAGAAGAAAAGAAACACACACAATACCTTTAAGAGTAAACAACCTTTATCCCACGTAAATGGCAATGCAGATATAATAAGCAAATGATATAATAAGCAAATTGCAATGGGAAGGGGAGAAGGGAAAATATATATATACTTACATACACATACATATATATACACACACACATACATATACATATATGTATATATTCACCTAACTATGAAGGATTCACCACCAGACTGGAAAGCAACAGCCTGGGCTCCAGGGTCACACATTACACTCACCAGACTATGGAGGATTCATCACCAGACTGGGAAGCAACAGTCTGGGCTCCAGCGTCGGCCACCCCTCTGTGCACAGACGAGGAGAGGTCTCATGAAGCTTTGGCGCAGTCTGGGACCTTAGCTCTTTTTGTAACACGTTGTTTGGCCTGAGGCCCAGTCACAAGGGCCCTGATTCACGACTGGGCTCAAGGAACACAAAAAGGTCAAGTCGTTTTTGCAATTGTCTATTGTTTTTCAATAACTAATGTATAGGAATAGATTGAAATAGAGATTTCTCTGAAACAGCGCTGGATGAGTGCCTCAAGGGGCTCACACAACCTGTCCTGGGACTTGGTGACCATTGTTTGTGTCCATGTTCAACTGAGTTCAAATTTAATATTTAACTTCTCCTCCACAGGGGCTCACCAGAGAAGACAGGGCAAGGTGAGGGGGATATCCTAGCAGAGGAAACAACATGTGCCAGTCAAGCAAAGGTATCTTTGTGCATTCGAGGAACACAGAGTGAGAGGAAAGACCAGTGGCAGGTGGGGATGTATAAAGCAGGGATCCTGTTATGAAAAGGTCTAAAAAAATAGGCTATAGCATTTGGACGTTATTTCAGAAGTAATAAGAAAGCATTCTGCATTTTTAAAGTAAGGTTTAAAAATATTTCTAATCAAAGATAAAACAAAGTTGGTGTGAGAGGGTAAAGACTGATATACACAATCTGAGGAGTTCATAAAAATTCCATGTAAAGCATGTAGTAGGAATTGGTCCTAGGAGACAGAGAGCTTCAGCGGCATAGAGAACTTTAAGAACTTTTCCAAGAGTGGAGGGCTGGAGAATAAATTGTGAACTAAAATATATTTTGTGTTTGAGAACATGAAGAACTTGAGAGTGACTATTACACAGTTTTAAGAAAAAAAATAGTTCTTTAAAATAATTTAAAAAATTTTTTTAGCCGGGTACAGTGGCTCACACCTGTAATCCCAGCACTGTGGGAGGCCAAGGCAGGTGGATCACCTGAGGTCGGCAGTTCGAGACCAGGCTGACCAACATGGAGAAACCTTGTCTTACCTAAAAATATAAAATTAGCCGGGCATGGTGGCGCATGCCTGTAATCCCAGCTACTCAGGAGGCTGAGGCAGGAGAATCGCTTGAACCTGGGAGGCGGAGGTTGCAGTGAGCCGAGATCACGCCATTGCACTCCAGCCTGGGCAACAAAAGCGAAACCCTGTCTTGAAAAAAAGAGAAAAAATATTTTTAGAGACAGCATCTCAAACTGTCAGTCATGCCGGAGTACAGTGGTGCAATCACAGTTTACTGTTGCCGCAAACTGCTAGGCTCAGGTGATCCTTCCACCTCAGCCTGCTGAATAGGGTGGGACTACAGGCATGCACCACTTTGTCTGGCTAATTTATTTTATTTTTGTTGAGACGGGGTCTCGCTATGTTGCCCAGGCTGGTCTCAAACTCCTGGCCTCAAGAAATACTCTCCCACCTTGGCCTCCCAAAGTGCTGGAATTACAGGTGTAGGCCACCATGTCTAGCCAAGAACTAGTTCTAATCCTGATATTCCTCTTCCTGGAAACCAGGTAGACAGAAACAAGAAAATCAAAGTAAATCCCAACCACCAGGAAACTAAGAAAATGAACAGACTCCAAATTATTTGGAAATGTGAAAAGAAAATGAAAGAACGGAATGGGTGTGGAAGGCACAGTGATGCTACAAAGCAAAACAAATGAGAAATATCCATTCCTATGGGGAGTAGACCATATCCTCAATGAAAGGGTCTGTGAGCAGGAATAATGTCAAAAGGAGGTGGTAAAAGGAAGTCTGAAAATGTCACGGGGATTCAAGGTGACAAAACACATTGGCTGTATTCATTTTAAAAAAAACACAAAACAGCTTTATTGAGATGTAATTCACACACCATACAATTAAGCCATTTACAGTCAACAATTCAGTGCTTCTTAGTATGTTCACAAATACGTGCAACCACAAGTCAATGTTAGAATATTTTCATCACTTCAAAAAGAACCTCTATCCCCTTAGGCTATCACTCCCTGGCCTCCCCACTGCCACACTTGCCCCATACTTAGCCTTAAATAATGACTAATCTACTTTCTGTCTCTATAGATTTCCCTATTCTGGACTTTCATATGAATGGAATAACATATGTGGACTTGTTACTGGTTTCTTTCATTTAGCATAAGGTTTTCAAGGTTTATCCAAATTGTAGCATGAATCAGTACTTCATTCCTTGCTATGTCTGAATACTATTTCTGTAGATGAATAGACCACATTTTGTTTACCCATTCTTCTATTAATGGAAATTTGGGTTGTTTCCACCTTTTGACATTATTATTATTATTTCTGAGATGGAATTTTGCTCTTGTTGCCCCGGCTGGAGTGCAGTGGTGCTATCTGGGCTCACCACAATCTCTGCCTCCTGACAGTTGTTTTTAAAATGCCCAGCCAACAATTATTTTTAAAATACTGCTGTGAACATTCATGTAAACATTTTTGTTTGAGGCCGGGCGTGGTGGCTCATGCCTGTAATCCCAGCACTTTGGGAGGGCGGAGGTGGGCAGATCATGAAGTCAGGAGATCGAGACCATCCTGGCTAACACAGTGAAACCCCGCCTCTACTAAAAATGCAAAAATTAGCCGGGCGTGGTGGCTCATGCCTGTAATCCCAGCTACTCAGGAGGCTGAGGCAGGAGAATCACTTGAACCCAGGAAGCGGAGGTTGCAGTGAGCCGAGATCACACCATTGCACTCCAGCTTGGGCAACAAGAGTGAAACTCCGTGGCAAAAAAAAAAAAAAAAAAAAAAAAGTTTTTGTTGAATATCTATTTTGTAGTTTTCAGAGTATAAGTTTTATTTTCTATACAGAAGATCATGACATCTGCAAATAGAGATGCTCTTACTTCTGCTTCAATCTTTACTCCAGTGTCTTTTATTTCTTTTACTTCCCCAATTGCCAGTACACTGTTAAACAGAAGTGGGGATCTTTGTCTGGTCCCTGATCTTAGAGGGAAAACATCCAGTCTTTTACCATTAAGTATGATGTTGGCTGTGGGTTTTTCCTAGATATCAGGGTGAGGAAATTCCTCTTTATTCCTAGTTTGTAGAGTGTGTGTGTTTTTAAAAATCATAAAAGGGTATTGGCTTTTGTCAAATGCCTTATCTCTACTGAGATGATTGTGTGATTTTTGTTTTTTATTCTATTGATATGATACATCACATTAACTGACTTTTGATGGTAAGCCAACCTTGCATACCTGGGATAAATCCCACTCAGTCATGTTATATAATTCATTTTAGATGTTACTGGATTTGGTTTGCTAGTACTTTGTTGAGGATTTTTACACCCATATTCTTATGAGATATACTTTGTCTGGTTTCAGTATCTGGGTAATACTGGCCTCATAAAATGAGCTGGGGACTTGGCTGTATTCCTTAATTACAGCAGAAGACACTGGGTAAACTCAGAGCTGATAATAGGAGTCTTCCTGAACCAGTTGAGCTTCTGAATGGCAGAGAAGGCCTGGCTATTCAAAGGGAGCCAAATTTTTTAAAAATTGTCTTCTTCTGGGGTAACAGGGGAAGAAACTCTTGAGCAAAAAAACCTTAAAAACTACCCTTGCCCTATTCACTTTTTTCACAGGAAAATACCAGTGACAGCTATTCCAGAAAAATCTATTACATCCTCTCCAAAATATAAATTAGATATAACATGCCTAAGATAGTAGGCTGAGGTGGGCAGATCACGAGGTCAGGAGATTGAGACCATCCTGGCTAACACGGGGAAACCCTGTCCTTACTAAAAATACAAAAAATTAGCCAGGTGTGGTGGCATGTGCCTGTAGTCCCAGCTACTCGG